GACGCGGAGGGGCTCGTTCGCGGGTAAGTCAGAGGTGGGAGGCGAGCGGTCGTCGCCCTGGCCCGCGAGCTGGCGGGGTGCGTGGCCCGCCGCCCGCGCTCGCCCTGCGCTGCTGCACGTTCCCCAGTGCCCGTTGCCTCTCCTCCTGTCCCAGCCTTGGCCTCCCTGTCGGCTTCGGCGCCGTCTACGCGCACCCTCTCCTTCTGCGCGGTTCACCCTTACGGGAATTGGTTTTTACACGTGAGAAGAACTTCTGGCGGCGCCAGGGGAGCGGGCGGCGTCCTCTTGGCTTGGAAACTACTAGGCTCAGCGGTTCTGTTCGGAAAGGGTGTCGGCCCACTCGGAACGAGAGGGAGCGTGACCCAGGCCCAGGCCGGCTGCACCGCCAGGTGTGCGGAGCGGTGGTGGCCTGCCCTCGCGTCTCCGCCAGGAAGGAAGTGGCGGACTGGCCGTCTGTCCGCTGTCAGTCTTTCCAGCAGCCAGAGCGATGGCCCCACACTTGGCCTCCCCAGCTGCGCTACACCCTCAGGCTGCGCCGAAAGAGTGCTCGGAAAACTTGCCACTCACTCCATCTCCCAGGGTGGAGCAGGTCGAACCAGAGTGCGCCGCGGGTGGCTCCTCTTCGGTCCGGGCCCCCTGCGCCGCGCCGCCTGGAAAAGCCCCGGGCCGGCCAGTGTGGGAAAAGACTGTTTGGCTCCGTGGCCGAATTGCTCAACGCTTTGGACCGACTCGCCTCGCTGCGGTCGCTCCCAACCAGAGCTAGTCAGCTTGTCGGAGCAGGGGAAGCATCCCGGGGAACCGGGCGCAGCAGTGCTCGGCCCCGCATCTCACCGGACAGAAGCCCCGGAGCCCCGCGAGCCCCGGGGCCGCTGGAGCCGGGGAGGGCGCCGCTGGCGTGCACTCCCCGCCCGCTGACGCGCGGCCGCTGGTTTTTACAACCCCACTCCCTTCCCCGTAGTCTGGCCGACCCAGACCCAGGCACTGCGGCGTCGCTTCTCCTCGACCTCCTCCTTTCCACACTCTCGCGACGGGGTTGGGGGTGAGGGGCTTTCCTAGACTCCCCGACAGGCGAGGGCCTGAGCAGCCTCTCCCTGACGCCCTGGCCTGTCCCTGCCTGGGCGCTCTCGCACTGTCCTGTTTTCGGATTGACCCAAGTGCAGCTGGACCTGACTCACGAGAGAGAGGGGGGAGCGGGAGGAGAGGGGGACCCCAGGAATGAACCCGTCGCCGGCCCGAGTGCCCCGGTTCTTAGATCGCGTGGAACTTCAAGTAAAGCCTGGGCTCCCAGCTCTCCGGCGGGGACCGCTTTCCTCCGGGGGCGCGGGCTGGGGAGGGTTGCGGAGGGCTGCAGGGGGAGGGGCTTCGGGCCGAGCTTTCCAGCTGCAAACGCGTCTGGCGCCGAGGCGGGCCCATTTTGTGCCTCCTGGGGACAGGCCGTGGGCGGCGCGCCGCGCCGGGACGCGTCCTGGGGACGTGGTGGCCAGCGCCTTCTTGCAGACCCCGGCGGGCAGGACTCTCTGGCCTCTCGGATCTGTGACCGGGTTTCAAGTTCCTGGTGGAAAAGTAGCGATTCCGAGGAGAAAGCCACACGCCAGCTCGGCGGCTGGGAAATGCGGCTCTGAGCTTCCAGCTCGCGGGGTGCGCCCTGACAACGGCCTTGTGTGTGGGTGGGTGTTTTGGTGGAGGGGAGCTTGCGGAGTTGCCCTGGGCGCGAGATGCAGGGTCGGGCCAGAGGGCTCCTCCGACTGCGTCCTCGTCTAGGCTGGGCCGGTGCTTGTCTTTCGCGGCAGTGGCTGGGCGGCATTTCCTTTTTGTTTTAAATTAGGATGGCGAACCGGGGATGGGCTGGGAAAGTAGACGGTAGGAGGGCATAAAGGGAACCTGAGGCCTGGGGCCCTTCCTTCCCTGGGAGAGGGAGGGCGCGGGCGTGCGCCGGCAGCTGCGCGGCGAGCGCTGGGCAAGGTGGGCACCAGGGAAGGCTCGAATCTGAAAAAACCGCGGGGGCTCAGGCTTGGCTTGTCCCGGCGTTCCCCGCTGCCTGCGGCCGTGCGGCTCTCGGGCCTGTAGGAGGCGCTGGCGTGCGCCTGTAACCCTAAACCCCCAGCCCCTCTCCCTCCACCGGCCCGGCCCCTCTCCCTCCACCCGGACCGGCCCCCTCTCAGGTCTCAGTCGAAAACAATGCAAA